CGGTGCGTTTGCCCCTTTTTGGGTTTCCGTCTCGGATCCCCTTTTCAGATGTCCAGAGACAAGGTCCCTTCCTCGGTAGAATAGTAACTCACACTTTATTCTTCTTCGGTAAGAAGCAGCACAGAAGTGGGCGATTGATCAGCAGAATCCTCTGACGAAATAGACAGAAGCAAAATGCCATTCTAGGAGATGTGACCGGCAGTTATATCTGTGGCCCTAGGAAAGTGTAGACTACAGAGATAGGCCGAGTAGAAGAGAGTAAGATATCCATATAAACACAGATCAAGAGAAGGCTCTGGCCGGCAGCTTCGCGCGCGGGAAAACGGTTTATTAGTTGCGAAATTTGAGTTGTGGGAAACAAGAGGTAATAGGCAGATATGCAATAGATAGTATAACAAAGCGAATAATGATACACAAGAATAGAAGTATGTTTATAACTTTACATTGTGGTTACATTCTACACATATTTACAACCAGTAGTTAGTAAGTATGAGATTGGCAAGTAAGAACTTCGACAAAAAGTTAGAAATGTTGAAGGATTTATGCTGTGCGTTCCATACTATATGTCCATCTTTCGGTCTACGGAAAATGTTGCATGAAGCACTAGCTCAACTTCGCAGCAGTTTAGCATTCACTTTCAGGTTTGCTGCAGAATAAAACAATGACCGACGTGATTTCATGAAAGTCAACGCTTCACTTTCTTTTCACAAGTATTCCCCGAAATTTGGCCTTTTCATGCTATACGTCCAGTCTGATTATTACTTTATTTGCTAAGTCAGTGGGCGCTTCTATGAAAATCATAGTGGAATGATGCTTTTTCTTCCAAAGCCAGCTCCACTAGGGGCATACTTTGGGGCAGCTTTTCGGAGCTTGCAGAATCGACGCTTCTCCACGTATCCATGACCACATCTTTCAGCTCGTGGTCGTTTCAAACTACTTGTAGTTAATGTAATGCCATCGGATAATGATACCCCATAAATTTTCTGTGAGATCCAGAATAGAATTACAGGCGAGCCACCCCATGACTTCGACTCAATGCTGTTCAAACCACATCACTGTTGACATGTAAACATGGACGCTTGCTTAATGCTGTTACACCGTTATATTGAAAGGAAAAATCTAGTCTCAAGAAGTTGTTGATACTCTCACGAATCCATTCGAGAAGAAGTGAAGGCGAGTTGTAGCTGCCGAAGCCGAAGTTTAACCGACTAAACTGCCCCGGTCTTCTTTCCTGATCAGCCATCGGACCCATCCATATTAATCTTCTTCTTTTTGAAAAGTTTAACTGGATACAAGAAATCACAAAGAGCAGGGCCAACTCACAACATCACCTGTTTCCAACCCGTCGGAACATGTCTTCTGGTAAACTCGAGACAGGTACAGGTACTTCATGAAGGTCTGTTGGGCGTGGTACTCTACTCATGACTTCTCTCACAATGTTGTTGATAACTCCACATAGCCTCAAGTATGTTCGGATTTGGTTGGCATTGCTCTACTGTTGGGAGCTTGCTTCTAAATTTGACGTTTATTTCTTGAGCATAGCTTTCTGCTTAGTTCAGTTGTTCAGCGTGCAACGTCACAGAATCTTCGATGTGGAAACAGACAATATTTTGGCTTGTTCCCAATTTGCTGTGCGATTGTCGATTGGAAACACGGCTTCGTGCAATGCCAGTATTTCGACCATCCTTCCGTAAACAGGAGGGGGTCACGTGTCATACATGTTTTCGACTTCGAACGGGGGAAATTTTTACATGTATTTCTCTGGGGACGGACGCAAAAAGTTAAGCACATGAAGTTCGGAGAAATGTTTATTGAAAAGATATTCCGAAAGGCTATGGTTTTGAAAACTAGGACATCACTGTTCCGAATCTGACAGTTTATGGTGCAAAGGTCGGTGCATGAAGTAAAATAAAGGGTGGGCCAATATGTAGTAGCAAAACGCACTGTAAAAGCAATGTGAAAACGATAGGAAGGATGATAAACTTCTAAAACATTATTCGGGAATGAGTGTGCAAGGGTCACACGTAGGTCTTCGCAACTTCGAAACAGTGAATAGAAACATCAAATTCGTATCATCATCTTTACAAAACACAACGAGGAAAAATGCAAGTGTGGCAGCTGAAATTAAAAACAGCAACATAATCGCTAAAAATTGACGAAGGTGGTGTAGGAGCCATCCGGTAGCGGTACTTCACTCAAACTCCCACGGGAGTTACCGTATTCTTCCAGTCAAATCTTTCCCTCCATAACATGCGACTGAGCGAGAACTGGTGCGGTTAACGCGTGAGATATTCGTGAAAATGTTGTTGTTGTTGTTAGGAATTGATCTTGAAAGGCAAAATGCTCAGTGCTTCTATAGGTTGATGCCCTCCTTTCTTCACAGAAGGGCGGTTTTTCTTGGACGAAGTTCGCTAGTGTTTATACTAAACTTTCAAATCTCTGAGTAAGATTGAGATTTTTTGCGCTTGATTTTCGTACTACCAGCGAGTCCCAACGAAAAATTAAACGGCTCTTTACAGACTTGAATCGGCCTTTTCAATGTTGATGTTTTCATTCAACAAGGAAGAGGCTGTTACAGCATATTCATCATCGGATCTTGTTGCTGGTTTAGTTAGTATCGCACTTTATTTTGTCTTCATTTTCTTCGATCTGAAAAAATGGTAATGTTCAACTCTATGTCAAATACTTCGACTCAAATACATAGCTTTACCTGAGTACTGTTTATCCAATGAAATGCATTTGATTGTGTATAGAAAGTTAATTTATTAAGGGTACCCAAGCGAATATCGACCGTTTTAGTGATGTGTTTGTATGCTTGCCTCTTTCTATTCACTTTTCCCTGGTCATTTTTACCAAGTAATGTAGAAATTAGTGTCAACGGTCAGTTCATCTTCCCAGTTCTCCTTCTATCTATGCTCTTTTTAATTAAAGGTTCCTTAAGAAATGAGTTATTTTCAGGGTCTGACAAAGGATGCGTTGCAGAACGATTTTCCTGGTGCACAGGTCTCAAAGCGGTTTCTCCCTTTGTAAGCTCCTTAAAATTGGAAAAATTTTACAATATGCCCACCAAGTGAATAAGGAGTCGCCGTTATTAGCGATTCTAATTGATATTTCTGAATCGATTCTAAATATAATTGGGGCGATTTTAGTGGCGAAGAAGCTAGTCAATCGCATCAGGGATTTCAGCTTTTCATCTTCTTCCTACGGCAATAAAGAGAGAAATCTACGGGATAGGGCTCACTATAATGAGCTAATGTTGTGTTAAGCAGGCCAAGTCGTGTACTAGCATCCACATAGTCTGAGAATAAAATCCTACATTGAGACAGGCTCATGCCGCTGAGACCTTCCATCCCTCCGGGGATGGAAGGCCTCACCGGCTATAGGATTCATCTCGAAAAGGGATATATCAAAAAAACTCTTTTTCACAAACATATTTCTTTTTTTCAAGGTCTACTACCCTATGATCGTGCTAGTTTTTGGAGTTGGTGATTCAATAATAGGCATTGCCCTCACCACACTGTACTCAGAAATAATTGGGCCAAGACGACAGGTGAGTTTGTTTGTTTGTTTTTGAAACTTACCCGGTGACTCGTCGAGGGCGAATTCGTGGAAAAAAGAGTATTGGATCCCTTAATGATAAGGCTAGGGCTACTATGCAGAATTTTAGGGAACCCTCCAAGGAGTACTTCAAATGTCAGGATCTATAGGAAGTATGCTTGCACCTCTCATTTCGAGGCAAGTCATGGTTTTGCTTAGAGTGACTGGAACTATTAATTTTGTTCCTGACTTGTAGCCTCTATATATAGTACCTAAAATTGATTAATTATGTCTGTTACCCCTAATTTCAGTTCTCTTTATATGGAATTTGGTCCACAAGCACCATGGTCACTAGCCATCGCTGAGATATCAGTGGTAGTTGCTCTGTGGCTAGCGTTTCATAAGAAGATGGTCCCACTGCGGGCAGAGAATATGTCTGCCAAATCCACCGCGAAGGAGGAGCCTTGACAAGGCTTTTTCACATAGTTTACATTGTTGTCAGTGTCAACAAGGTTTTGGCTGTTCCCTTGCATTATAAATATGAAATAAACAGTTCGTTGTATGATAGTAAGTATTATGGCCACAAATATTACCGTGCTGGTTATTTTTATTTCCAATCAGGTGGCAGATAATTAGAAAAACGAACATGGTGTGCATTTCAAAAACGGAACTGGCTGACGTCAAGAAACCTAACCTTTCATCATTTGAGCTTCCTCCATCATAACAGCTCTCTCATATTCTCCCAAAATAAACTGACTCACAGGCAAATCCATAGAACGGAAAGTAGAGTGGCAGGTGCTTTCTACGTTCAGGCGGAAGTTATCATCTCACTCAACCCTCGTCCATTACATAGTCATCATTTGGGCCAAAGTTAAGCTGAATTAAGCTGCTCCATGATCGAATGCGATGATTTCGACCTTGAACCTGGTTTCTACTTGAATCTTATGCATACTTTATCCATCATGGCACTTGTTATGAACTTATTTGCTGTATACTGTGTTGTTTGTAAATCAACGAAACAAATGGGAGTATACAAATGGTATCTGCTTATTTATCAAGCAGCTTCCACCTTATTCGACTTCGTGTATACAAGCCTAACTCTACCAGTGATCTTTTTCCCTGTACCAATGGGTTACCCTGGTGCTTGGATTGCTGAGTGGCTGTCCATTAGCTCTCATGCGGCAACTATCACTGTTATTCTAACCTGTTCCATGATGGCTGCTGCTGTGCTGAGCCTTTTCAACTATCGGCTTTTCGTGGTAACCCCAACTCATCATTTTATGAGAATTAGCGACAACGGTAAGTCTCGGTACTGCTACGTTATTGGGCAGTTGTTTCAGTTACTTGTTTGTGATGGTCTCGAACACTCCCCAAGATTTTGGAGAGATTCAAGGGTCTCTAGTGTTTAAAACTATTGATAGTTCCATCCGACTTTCTGACTTCAAAAAGATGGATTGGCGGAGCCATTCCGAAAAAGCTAAACGTTTCCTGCCATCCTCTACAGTCCGCTACGACGACGCATCATCGTTGCAAGCCGTCTCGCGCCTGAAATCAACTGCTGGCACAACACACAGCACTCTGTGTGTTTCTGAATGCTGCTTTTTTACTTCTGGACAGATATAAATTCCTTTATGCTTTCATTTTTTATACCGTTTTCAGGTCACTAGACCCACTACCTCTTAAA